GAAGCGGTCTCCTGGGCCTAACTCTTTCCTCTGATACCCTATTGCATTGCCACATTCTCCCTGATATTTCCTTCACAAACTGCTATTCCAAACTGATGGTCACAGAGTCCTCAATAACAGGGAGACAAAGTGCTCTGCATAGCTGATAAATTAGAAGCAGGCACCACCTGCTCTCTTGATGGATTGTTAGAGTGAGGTTGTGAGTCATTGGTGTTATTTTTGGTCAGGAGAACTGTGTGAACTTTGATCCTCTATTCCAAGCTCTTGAAAACGTGCCCCCCCCCATCACCTTTAAAGTGTTTCTCAAGGAATTGTGTACCCTAGTAGAATAGTCATTTTCAGGCTTTAGTTACTGTTTTAGAGTTGAGAAGGTGGAAGGCTTGAATAGAGGAGGGTTGTGTGTTGACAACCCTATCTGATAAGTATAAATGAAAATTACAGTCACTTGCTCTAAGGCAAGGGTGCCCCTCCCTTCCACTTCTACCCCTGAGAACAAGTTCAAGGCTTGGGTAGATGTATTGTGAATTCATAGATCCAAAGGTTTCTATAACAATAAGTCTTTCTGCCATGCCGCCTGAATCCTGCTGCCACATGGGCACTTTCCAAGTAACACACAGAGACTTATATTAGGTACAAATGCTGCTTGGCCAATGACTAGGATTTCTCATCTGCTAGCTCAGTCTTAATTATCATAAATCTATATATTTTATAGGACTTACCTTATCGGATGCCAGTGGCAAGCGTCCTGTCTTCACGGGCTCATATGGTGACTCTGTGCTTTCTCCTACCTTTCCCAGAATCCTCTTTGACTCCTAGTCCCACCTATCTTGTTTTCCTATTGGCCAACAGTACTTTATTTATCAACCAATAAGACAATCATATACACAGAAGGACTTCTCCCATCACAAAGGTATTGTGATTCCAACTGACCACCACCACTGCATTGTGGGTGGTGGTGGGATGCCTGGCTATCTTGTGGTTGCATTCTTTTCAGCTGGGCTACAAACTAAATAAGGTTTGATAATCACGGCTCTACTCTGAATGCCTTCCCTGTTGCAGCCCAAACCTCTACCCAAGTGTTCTCTGGGATCTTTTGTGTTTATCATGGGTTTCTGTCCTGCTCTATGTCCAAATGTCCCAGAGAACCAAGGTCAACACTTAATCAGAGCGAGGCCCTAGGTCTGGAGCCACAAAGCATCCTTATTGTTTCTATCATGACAAGATAGGCAGAGAAATTGGGAGCAATCTTTCAGAGGTTTTTTAGAGCCATAGTATGGGCTTGAAAACACAGGGTTTTCTTAAATTTATTTTCCTATAATTCATGTTGGCTGCATTGCCCAAAAGCATTGATCAGGGATGGACTGAAGAATGCTGCTCTTTTTGCTACATGAGATGAGTTACTCTGGGTTTGCTAATTCAGTGGCAGTGGTCCCTCAATGTCAGTTTCTCCCCTCCCCACCTGGGGATCAAGCTGTTGTTCATTGAACAAGGGAAGTCTGAGGGTGTGACCATCTTTGCACTTTGGCTTTCTTGTTGAATTTTGATTGCTGTTCATGGAAAGGTACAGGTGGCATTGCTCCTTCCCTTACCACCTCCTCTGAGACCATCCTTCCTACCTGCTGCCTGTCCTTAGGGAGGATGCTGTTGCTGGCTCCCTAAGAACCATGAGCTAATGTCTGGGAACTTTCTGAAGTTCAGTGGAAGCAAGCCACAGGGACGGAACCACAAACTGTCAATCAAGAACATTTTTGACTTTCACTACCTGGACCCCACATGTCCTGTGTCTTTGAACTGACCCCACCCTCCCCACCCCCAAAAAGTTCTAAGATGTGAGATGAGGAATACCCCTTCTTTGCTTGGATCCTTGTCCCAAGGTACTCACAAGGTCCATCATCTCTTTTTAAAGGTGACCTCTTCTGTACACTCTGTTTCCTGTACTTCATTTTTCCTAGAAGCTTAATACCTGACCAAGTGAGCCACTCTCATTCTGTCCCATGGATTATAACATGTAAGAAGTTACATGTGAGTTCACAAGAGCACAGAGTTTTGTGTTTTCGGGTCATTGCTGCATCCCCAGGCCTAAGACAGTTCCTAGCACAAAGCAGATGCCCAACAAACATCTGTGTGAATAAATGAATGAACAATGAACAATGCAGGCACAGAATCATAAAGAGCCAGCTGTGGCCAAAGAGAGACCTGCTGTGTCCCCACAACTCCATCTTCTGTGTACTTGAGTTAGTGCCATGGGGAGGGACTTTAAGCAGCACCCCCTTGGTGCCCAGCCTGGGACTTAGCATTCTGTGTTTACTGTGTACATTTCAGGTCACCACATGGAAAGTTCAGTGTTTGTTTCCTTCTGCAGATGGAGAAAATTCCCCATGCAGCTAGTGACAAAACTGAGAAGTAACTTTCATTCCCCACAAGGGAACTTCCCAAAGTCATCTGGGAGCAATGGTTCCTAGTTTCTCTGTCTACAAAAGGGAGTCTAACTTTCCTCATCCACCATCAACTTTGTATCTCATGAGAGCAGAATTCTGGGAAAATGGGAAGCAAGATATTGTAAGCTCTGAGCCATGCAAATATGGGGTTGAAGATTTAGATTGCACTATGGAATGGAGATTGTATTAGGGAAAGCAGCCTAGAGCACAGGGGGCTGAGGGTTTGTCCCAGGCAAGGCTGCATATTAGGCACTAGTTTAGTAGTTGGTACTCCTTACTCCCAATGCCAAGGCATCTCATCTCCCCTTTTAGCTGTGTTAGGGGAGAGGGGAGAAGAGAGAACCAAGTTTCTCGCCCTTCATGGAACTTACGCTTTAGAAAGGAGAAGGAGTCAGGAAATAAACAGCGAGCAATAAACCATGAAGTAAATTATATGGTATGTTAGGAGATGGCATGTGCCTCAGACAAAGGCATGGGAGCAAAGGGGAGGGTGGCCGTGTTAATCCAATGGTCTAGGGGCAGGTCCTGTGGGGACCAGTGATCTCTATGCAAAAGCTTGAAGGAGCTGACAGATGGTTTGGGCACCAAGATGGAATCAGGCCTGGCATGGAGGAGAAAGGTGTGAGAATGGAAGTCGGGTATCTAGAAAGAGGAAGATGGCCATCCAACCAATGGACTGTAGAGGCCCCATGGAGCAAGGACAGTGAAAATTTCATCTTTATATTCTTGCTGTCTTTTCTTACCCAACATAATTATTTCCTTAACTGTAGCATTGAAGGCCTTGGAGACGTTGGCTGTCTATTTATGCCTCTGGGTTTGGGTGTCCTCAACTTCAGCATGAAGGAATCTGGGGACTTATCTCCATGTACACCTCTTTGAGTTGACTGTTGTGAGGCTCCAGCCTTCTCCTTCCTTCATCCTCTCATCCTGAGGCTTTAGACATGCACACAGATGCCCTGTGTGACTGGCTACCTTGCTCAGTAGTTGTCTTTACTAAAGGTGGGTGAGAACATGATCAGTCGGGTGAGAGTCAGAACAAGTTATGGTTTGTAAAATAAGGGTAGGTTTCCACATAGATCAGTCGGGTGAGAGTCAGAACAAGTTATGGTTTGTAAAATAAGGGTAATTAAATAAAAAAATGTCAGGGAACAAGGGCAAGCTGAAGGCTGAGTGGAGGGAAGCATGAAGGTGACAGGAGTTCAGGGGAAGACCAAGAGGAAATGAGTGTATGTCAGCAGGTGCCAGCAGTGCTGCTCTGGAGAAAGGAATGGAGCTGCTGGCTAGATGAGCCCCTCCAACAGGTTTGGTACCCCAGTCTAGATAGGAATTAGATGATGTTTGTGAGAGGAGAAGCTTGTGGTGGTGGTGGTGGTGGGTGATGTTCTGAAGACTGGGGTGGAAAGCAAAAACCTGAGCTTTTTTGAACCATGGGAACCACCATCAGGGAACAATGAGATGGGAGACAGCCCAGGAGACTAAAGAATTGCAACTGAGTCCTGATGTTGGAAATGGCTGCCTCAGAATGACAATGGAAGTTCTGGGCATTCAGCCTGGGGAAATGGCATTGTGGGTAACATGCTTGCTGCAAAAGTGTGGGGACTTGAGTATGATCAGCAGCATACATGTAAAAGGTAGGCACAACAGCATGCAACTGTAGTCCCATTGTTGGGGAGACAGAGACAAGGGGGATCCTTGGGGATCACTGGCCAGACAGCCTAGTGGAATTGGTGAGCTCCAGGTTCAGTGAGAGAAGGTCTCAAAAAAATACGGTGAGATCAATTGAGGAACATATTTGAAGACAACCTCTGTCCTACACATGTGTGCAAACACATAAGTGTACACATATGCACACTCAAATTCTGAAATAGCCAAGAAGAGCTCATTTGAAGGAGCAGAAGAGATGACCTAAATGAGAATATGAAGCCTTCTTACATTGCTGGCCCTGATTGAGAACTGAAAATTATGCAATTTGAAAATGTAATTTTTTTTTACCTGTGTGTACGTATGTGGGGTACATATGTACAAGTATGTGCTTATGAGGGGGCAGAGGCCAGAGGAGAACATCAGAGGTCCTGCTCTATCAACCTTATTCCCTTGAGACAGGGTCTCTCACTGAGCTTCAAGTTAGGCTAGCAGCCAGCAAGCCCCAGAGTTCTTCCTATCTCCTCCCCAGCAGCTCTAGGGTTCTATCTGTACACAGCCATACCTGCCTAGCTTTTTATGTGAGTGTTGGGTATCCTCATGGGATAGACATTTTAGTGACAAGCCCTTAGGAAAGTTTTGAAATAGTCAAATATGACTGATTCCCCTGTAACCTGCCCCCTTTTGTGATGCATTCTGGAAGTGAATCTCACTAAATAATGGAGGCTTGCTGCCCATGTCATCCTCCTCTCCTTGAGCTGGTACCATGTGGCTTACATGCTTGCTGCTTTCACACATATTCACTGACACTGGGCTCTGTGGGATCCAGCTGAGCTGGATGGTAGCATCTACAAGTCAGGGAAACCCCCATTTGTTCATACCTCCATGCTGATTGCTCTTGTGCTATATTGATATTTCCAGGCTAATCTTGCACAGCTGTTGAGAGACTCTCAGGACAGGAATAAACATCTGGGAGAAGAAATTAAAGAACTTCGGCAGAGGCTTGGCGAGGTCCAGGGTGACAATAAGGTACTGTGAATGTTGGCAGGGAAAAATTCACTGCGTGAGTGTGCACTGGAAGTCTCTGTGTATGTAGTACATCAGGAAACACACTGCAGCATCACCTGAAAAAACTTTGTTACAGATTTTTATATTTGCAAGAAGGGAAATTCACAGTTTAGCATTTGCCTTTATCGCAGCCCCTTCGTGTGTGCACATGCCTGTGAGCATGTGTGTGTTTGTGAGCTGCTCTAAAATATTGTTCCAACCCATTCTAGAACTTTCGTTATATTCAGCTTGGTGGTAGACAACATGTGGTTGAAGGCGAAATAAAACCAAATGTGATACTTCCTCCCTTCTACACAAATAATGGATTTGTGGCTCCGATGATTTGAATTTTAAGTAGTCATTCTACTAATGATGTTCACATCACCAATTTACTTTATTGCTAAATTTGGCAATTTGTATGGAACATTGCTCAAAATCCAAAGCTCGGCATTAATCAAACTCCCCTGTTGGCAACGTTAATTATAAAATATGAACTCATAAACTCCAAACTAAATGTGTGCACTCACTTTCTCCCAGCTGAAGCTATGAACAAAAGTACAATTGAAAAAGAGAAGAAAAACTACTCAAGTTAAGTTCTGTTCCCACAAATAATCTTCCATTTTGCCCAGCATGGACAGATTACAGATTCATTTTCAGCCCTTTGCCAGAGGCAGTGTTCACAACAGAAAGGGCGTTGAATTTCGACTCAGAAACGCTATATTGTGTGTGTCCAGGGGTGCTTTCCTGAGGAGACATTTTCTAGATGTTATTCAATTCCTTGACAAATGAAGGTAGCTTTCTCTTTTGTGAGGAGTTGGTGGTGGTTATTGGAAGGCACCATTTTGAAAGATGTTCACTTTTTTCTTTGTAAAACATGTTTAGTACTCCCTGGGAGTCAGTTGCCTAGAGGGAACTCTTCCACAATAAAAGATCAGAGAGGCCAGTGCTGATGGCTAGATGGGAAGCCCAGATGGTTTGGATATGGTGTCATTCCCTGCACCCCACCCTACCCACCCCTGTTGTGTACTGGAAATTTGGCCCTTGTATTAGTTACATGATAAAAACAACTTGAGGAAGCATGGCGACAGGAAGGTATGATGGCAGCAACAGGACGTGGACGTAGGAAGAGATGATACTGTACTAAGCTTTCTCTGTGGTTCAGTCCAGGACTCCAGCTGGTAGGCACCCATAGCCTACGTTTAGGGTGAGTCTTCCCACTTCATTTAAACTAACCTAGGACATTCCTCATAGCTGTGCTCAGTCATTTGTTTCTATGTCGATTAAAGTCATGTCTGGCTGTCAATCAAGACCACACACCACAGTCCCAGTCACAGCTCTGAAAGGAGCTAGGACCTTTAAGAAGCGGGGTCTAATAGGTTGGGTCCTAAGGCCCATGGGAGGTGACTATTTACCTCCTGTTTAATGGAGTAAATCAGGTTTCTAGTTGTTCATGAGTTGATGTCACAGGAACATCAGACCCTTCTCTGCTCTCTCACTTTTCCCTCTCCAGCTGACATCTTCTGTATCCACCAAACTATGCTGCTGCCACAAGGTCCTCACTAGAAGTCCTCAAAAGATATGAGCCAAGAGAACGTCTTGTCTTTATAATGTACCCAGCCATTGGTGTTTTGTTACCATAATGGAAGACAGGGTTAGAGAAATGACTCAGCAGTTAAGAGTACTTGTTGCCCGAGTTTGAGAACTAGAGTTTAGATTTTGGCATCTGTTTCAAGAGCCAGATGTCCTGAATGTTTCTGTAACTCCAGCTCTGAGTTGGGATAGAGACAGGAAGTTCTCTGGGTTTGATGGCTTCTAGCCAAGTGAAGAAAACTAAAGCTCCAGGTTAATGGAGAGATGCTATGTGAAAGGGATACATGGAGGTCAAAGGTAGCTGGGGCTGTGTGACAGAGACTTGGTTAAGCCTTTGAGGGATGTGTGTGTGTGTGTGTGTGTGTGTGTGGTGGTGGTGGTGGTGGTGGTGGTGGTGGTGGTGGTGGTGGTGGTGGTGATTTTGATGGTTTGTTGTTTTGATCCATTGTACCATGTGTGGCTTCCACTCTTCTTTCATCATCCAGATGCAGGCCATGTCTTTGTCATGGTGCACCAGGCATTTGTGCTCTGTCCACTGCTGGTTTTTCCAGCCATAATCTGGTTGATGTCATCTTCTTCATTCAGGTTCAGCCTGTCTGCCTTGCTGCCTTGAGTCATGGGATCTTTGCACCTATTACATACTCTGGGGCCTTCTCCTTGACTCTCCTTTCCATCCATTTCCGTTCCAGTCAGATCATGGATTAAATGTAGTTTTGCCAGCTTTCAGATGTCAGTCCTGTGTGTCCTCACTGTGTTTGGCTCTGCTCCTCAAACTGATACTTTAGCCCCAGGGGAATGCTCAGAAGATAAGTGCTAGGCCCACCCATACTTCAGTATGCGATCCTTAGTTCCCCCCACAGAGCCCTCCTTAGCAAATCTCCCAGGAAGGGGTGGAATGTATTGCCTGAACAGTGCTGTGAAGGGATAAAGGGAAAGAAAGGATTGGCACAGGGACGGTGTGGTGGCTCATGAGTAATTCCAACAGAGCCCTCCTTAGCAAATCTCCCAGGAAGGGGTGGAATGTATTGCCTGGACAGTGCTGTGAAGGGATAAAGGGAAAGAAAGGATTGGCACAGGGACGATGTGGTGGCTCATGAGTAATTCCAGCACTTGGGAGTCAAAGGCAGGAGGATCTTGGGATCAAGACTAGCCAAGATGAGAGTAGAACAAAGGAATTCATGTAAGAGAGAAGGGGAAAGTGGCTCACAGAATCCCTACTCCATATCATCACCCTGTGTGGTGTGAGGAACTTAGAAACTGGAATAAAAGTTCTAGAAAAGCAAAATGTCCCAATAAGGGACAAACAGAAACTCCAGCTGGAAGCCCCTGGGAAGGCCTGATAGGTGCAAGGGCAGAGGACAAACTTTGGTGGCCAGAGGGTACCCATGTCAACCCTGCACGTGGTCGGTTGATTCTACTCAGCATACTTAAGGGATGGATATTTGCTACTTGTAGATGAAGCAGGGGTCAAGGGCAGTGCTTGCTGAACACCTGTGCCTGTGGGAAGTATCTCTGAGTCACCATTTTTGACAATGACCTTTCACCATGCCATAGGCAGCTGACTGTGGGTATTGAGCACACATGAGCCCTGAGGTGACAGGAAATGACCTGCCTTGGATATTTCAGAGAGACTGACTTTTCTATTTGTTCAGCTAGAGCCTTGGCACCCTACACTTCATAAAGCACTTCCAAATGGCTTCTGGAAGGTTTGCAACTACAGCAGCTATGACAGCTTAGTATTTGCATAAACTGGGGGGGCATCTTATGATACATTGGGGAGTGCTTGGAACTCATCACTACCTGACCTTCCTCTGTCTGGTGCCCAAGAACTGGAGAGAGGAGCAAGAATGCACCCAGATAAATACAAACTCCCAACCCATACGAATTGAGAAGTGTGATAGTTGAAACACACCAGAAACTTCCCCTTCCTCAAAATTTCAGGTTTTTTTTTTTTTTTTTTTTTTTTTTTTTTTTTGGTATGGATGTGTTCCCATATGTGTGGGTGATTGCAGGTGCATTATGAACTTGTACATGTTTGTGGATGTATGTGGAGGCTAGGGATTACTCTCTACTCTCAGGTGGTTACCTTAATTATTTTCCTTTCATTTATTTTTTTTTTTGAGACAGGGTCTCTTACTGAGTTTGGAACTTGCTAGCCAGCAAGGCCCAGAGATCCCCTGTCTCCACCTCCTCAGTATGGGGATTAAAAATTTCAGTGTTTAAAGGTCAGTGAGGACTCTGGGGAGGAAAGGCTCCAGGCACCACCCTCACTTGGGAGAATCCTTGTGGGTGATGCAGGGCCCTTGTGTTCATGTGTGAGAGAAGAGAACCAGTTATGTAGGAAGGACCCCTCCCCCAACTATACTCAGCCTGCTCTGAATGGCCTCAACACCCCTGGTCTTTGCCTGTCTTTTCTCCTAGTCATGGAATAGAGAGAAGGGTAAGAGGCTGGAAAGTGGTAGAAGAAGGTGATGGGGAATGTAATGTGTATGTTTATCTTATTGATTATTGAATAAAATACTGTTTGGCCAATGAGACAGCAAGTTAGAAGGGACTAGGAGTCAAAGAAGATTCTGGGAAATGTAGTAGAGAAGTGGTGATCCAGGCAGAAAGTGACATAACAAGGAGACTCATATTTAAGCAAAGGAAACCGAAAGTGTCCCCTTTTTCCCCTTTGCTCTTCCTCCAGCGGAGCAATGTGATCCACCTGCATGGAGGGACGCCAATAAGGCATCTGATAAGTCTTATAAAATATATAGATTTATGATAATTAAGACTGAGCTAACAGATGAGAAGTCCTAGTCATTGGCCAAGCAGCATTTGAACCTAATACAAGTCTCTCTGTGTATTAATTTGGGCCCTAACTCGGGTGTAAAGCGCACATGTGGTGGTGGGGCTCGGTGGCTTATGGTGGAAAGATTCATCGTAACAAGAAGGGGATCTCTGTGGATCTAAAACTTCAACAACAAGCTGGTAGAGGCTATCTGAGTCTGAGAGGGGAGCTGGCACTGCCTCTCTGGCAGAGAGAGCCCAGCTTCTGAAACTTAGCCAGCTTTCTTGCCATTAGGACTGATGTCATAGCAAACATCAGGCACCTGTTTTAGTCAGAATTACTCTTACTGTGATGGAACACCATGACAAAAGCAACTAGAGGAGGAAAGGGTTTATTTGGCTTCAACTTCCACATCACAGTTCATCACTGAAGGAAGTTAAGACAAGGAACTCCTGAAATAGGGCAGGAACTCAAATAGGGTAGGAACTTGAAGGCAGGAACTGTTGCAGAGGCCATGGGGGAGAGCTGCTTACTGGATTGCTTCTTAGAGTTTGCTAAGCTTTTCTTATAGAACCCAGGACCACCAGACCAGGGGTGGCACCTCCCACAATGGCCTGGG